GCACTTTAAAGATGCACTATGTAACTTTTTGGGTCACGGGTTTGCCACTTGTCTCCCTGTAAATGTTATTGCATTGCCTGAAATATTCCTCAGTGTTCTACTTATTTATGATGCATTTTTTGTGTTTTTGATGCTCAACAACACCTTGAAAAAGTTGTTTAATGTTTAATGCAATGCTGTGAAACATTCAAAACAAAACTCTAGCATCTACACAGAAACAAGAATGCAGCAGACCCTTCACCAGATAATTTACATAGTGCACCTTTAATGTCACTCTATCTGGACACCTTGTTCCTCTTTTAACTTTAGCTCAATAGGTTGTGGGCAAACACGGCCATCTCTTGCTTATACTTATCTGCTTCCTCTCCGCCTCTCTGCCACCCATCTGGGCCATGTAATACATGACAGCTGAAGCGCTCTCTCCCAATTTAATTTGAGGTGCGATAAAACAGCACCTATCTATAAATTGTGAAGCCCAGAGCCTGTCTATCGGGATGGTTCGAAGAAGTGCTTTCTGCTGTCACACATGTGCAGCATATTAAACGCACACTACTGGGGCTATCCGCTCTGCAGGGAAGATCTACAATTAGAAAGAGGGCTTTGTATCTGTGCTTAAGAAATTCATCAGAAATCAGATTGCATAAAAATTGTTTGATGAAGGACACGCTCAGAACACGATGTGTAACAAATAAACTATTAACATGTTGACTTAATCTTAATCGATGATGGATTTTTTTATTTACGGCAAGTCATCAGTATAATGATAAGCAAATGTTTTCAAGCATAACAGCTTCGTTTAAAAGCTTCATAGAAATGCTTAGGCACAAGTGAGAAGTAGCTAAAATACAGTTGACGGTAAAGGTGTGAAGCATTCACTAAATGGAACTACTACTCTTATCTCACACATCTGAAGTGAGTGTGACTCTACAGCGATTCTTAATAATAAGTCTACAGCTCACTATTATGCTATCTATTCCCAGCTTTGAAAACATACCTATACGCTTGCATGCAAAAGTACTATATGCATTTCTGATTATATATCAAAATGACTTGACTATGAGTAAGAAACTTTATATAGATTTTATATTAGGTGCTGGTGCTGCTGTAACTGGCTCACTTGTAATCCCTGTACAAATCCAATAGAAGAATAAATTCAGATCATAGGTTAGAAATCTGGCCTTCTCCAACATTGCGGTTTCAAACAAAAATGCACATTTTGTCACAGCTCATATGAATTCTGCGACGCATATTTTCCCTTTGTTGATGACCTGAGCTGGCAAAGGTGTCATTTTTAATATTGAAAAACAAAATTGCAATTCCAAATGGCCCCATAGAGAAGTTAACAACTGGGAGCCTCCTCATATTGTCCCACTCCTGCAATGGCACCGCAAAACTTTCCGAATAATTCCCCTGACGGTGTGGCCACCACTAAGTCCAAATGTGCCTCCATAAGCCATTGGCCTGCCCCACTGTCTGCATATGAAACATCCAAACGGGGCAATAATGGACTAAACATGTGGGGGAGCGCAAAGGGACTTGATGGAGGGATTCCCCGTTAAAGCAGCTCAACATGTCCCACTCAGAGCTGTGCGAACCAATCAGGAAACCTCTCTTTTCTCTCTGTCACTCGTCCTACTGTCTCTACCCTGAAAGTACCTCCATGTCTTCCATTCTCACGCTGAAAAAAAAAATAAAATTGGTCCCAAACTGTCTCCAGCCTGTCAGCCCCATCAGTTCCCCACCTCTCTCATCCTTTCTTCTCCCGGGACTCTCCCACCCGCTGCTTCTGACGCCTCCATGGAGCCCCTTGAAGAGTCCCGCTAATAAAGTGTGGAGCCTGGGCCGAGCATTGCTGTCTCGCGCTCCCCACCCTCATCCCTGAGCGGCCATACATCTGCCACTAAACCAAGCCCGACCCGCCCTTCTATCTGTACAGTACAAGTACAAGTAAGACCATCTATGATAACCCTTTTTCTCTCTCGTTTCTGCTGTTCCAGTCTTTTGTGTACAGTGTGCTATGTTCACTGTGGCAGCAGCGTGCCAGAAAAAGCCACACAAACACACACACACAGTCACAGACACACAGCTGGGCCCCAGCTGCATACAAAGACTGGGGTTTGGAAATCAATGAAGGAGAGAAGAAAGGGGGAAAGAGTTTAAATAAATTGGCACTTGAAAAAAGAAGAACACGCAGAAAGAGAGAAACACAGACCAGGAGAGAACGCGCTCGACAAAGAGGCTGATCACCAAAAACATAATGTGACTACATGTTTATGAATGTGCCTATGAAATGCAATGGGCCTGACTCCAGCGCTACGGTCCGAGTGCAGAGTGGCGTTCTGCTTGAGGTGCCAAGGCTTTGGAAGCAACAGCAAACACAAGGCGAACATATCCAATAAATGACAAAGGCCATCAAACTCTGCATCTAAATGTGATTTCCTTTAGCTCGGGGCACACCTGGTGGCAATATGCTCATTTAAAGCTTGGGTATTTGGCACATTTTTGATGAGACAGGAAATACTGAAATAACTACTTTTAAATTTAGCATAACTGGATGACATTCTTATTTTAACCCACGCTTTATCTTTGATCACATGACCTGGCATTGACTAAGCTCCTATAGTCATGACAGTGCAACATGACAGTGAGTGACCGCAACATTCAGCAGGAAATGTCAATCAAGGGCGCACATTTTTAAGTTTAGTCTAATCAGTCGACAGCACCTGTTAGATAAGGCTGTGAATTGAAAACTGCTCTTTTTGGGAGTTGAGAAATTACGTGACTAAGACAGTTGCACATTATTAATTGTTATTATTATGACTCATTTATTTATTCTATTTCAGTGCTGCTGCAGTGTTGGCTGTTATTACTCCAGAAATTGCTTGCAGACTTGTATCTTCATATAGTTTTATTATAGCAGTGAGACATAATCAATAGGTGTTGATGTGAGTGAATAAAATGTATAATTTTCACTTATATACATTTTGATAGAAACTCAAAAATCCAGGTTGTATTGATTTAGTTTGATCAGGAATCCTTCAGCGCGCATAGAACATTCCACACAGTGAGAGCGTGAAGGAAAGACCACCGCCTTCCTATCAAACTTACGCGAACATGTGAAGTTGTATTGTGTCATTGTGCAAAAATATATTAATAATAATAATAATATATAAGTTGTATAGTGCTTTTCAAGATACTCAAATATGCTTTAAATGAAGATACAAACAAAGCGAAACAGGAAAAACTAAAAAGTTACTGGTGTTGATGCTGAAATGCTGTGTTGATAACACATTTTGAATTGTGAGCTTTCATCAGATTCAACGAGAGTCTAAGATTTGCAAAAACTACAAAAAGCTAATCTTGCTTGTGTGCTCAAGGCCTTGTCATACCGTTGGCCTGATAAGTGGCACATCCCTGTCAGTAAGGGTGTACTGGGGCTGATAGCTTTCACAGCGGCGCGACACCGTTGAGTTGTGAAATAGGTTTGGGGGGGAATGGGCTCGCCAAACTGCAACATGGCGGCGAAAAGGTGAGAGAGGATCTAACCCGGGTGACACTTTGGGCCTCCACACCTCGCTCAATGAAAATGAGGAAACACTCGCCGCAAACGGAAAAAAAGTATCTGCAAATGTCCGAATATTTAAGTGGCAGTTGCTTGGCAGATGACAAGTAAACACGCCGGCTGTGTGGTTAGCAAAGGCTCCTGGAAATGAAAACCAGGGTTAGTGGATTTGTATTTGCCCTGCTCCTCCAGACAAAATATCCACTAAGTCAATATGAGCAAACCTATTCAGGGCTCCAACAATTGCTTTCAAATGCAAACTGCAGCTCACACATGATCGGCATTATCCCTAACCCTCTTTGTTTTACAGCTAGGAGCATTTTAATTTAGGGATTTGCAGAGATACACAAATGGTTACTAAGTTAAATCAGTAGTTGTAAAAAGCGATGGTAGCTAATTGAAGACTTGCAGAATCTGAGTTTAGCATCAGTGGTACAGCAGAATAAATGTTTAGAAGCATCTCTGTGAAGAAAAAGGGTGTTATTACTAAAGTTTGTTTGCAAAGCACTTCGAAACATTGCACTAGATCTATACCAATGGTGTATTGAACTCCTTAAGGCCAATGCATAAGGTTAAGGAAGACTTTATTATGACTACAAGTTCCTCTCAAGCTGTTTTAGGAAGTGCCTTGACAACAACTGATAAAACTAACTGACATCATCTAAAATTGTGCACTTTTTTTGTGATGTGTGTGTGTGCGCTAATGTAACATGCTCACTTCATTTGAGCTGAAGAGTTCACAGCAGGACACACTATAACACTAATTTGCAGTTCCTAATATTTTATGGACAGTTTAAACATTTCTGAAACGTAAAATTGTTACACTTACAAAGTGTAGCACAAGATTGAATTAGACTTTACTTGCACATTGTTTCATGATGCAAAAGTTATCAGTTTTGTAAAGCTATTTGCAATTCAGTAAATGATTAAAAAGCATGATATAAGCGTAACAATATATAAAAATACTACAATGGTATTCGTACTAGTTGAAGGTCACTATATTTTTCAGGGTGGAAAACTGCTGCTTAAGAATCAACCTTCAACAGAAAGATAAGTTGGTTACATTTCTCCAAACGCAACTTTAACCCCAGCCCTGAGATAAAGGTGCAATTTTATGCTTTACAAGTCATGGGATTTTACAAATTACCTCGCACCTTTGTGTGACTTGACTGCGGTAGTCTGTGTCATGTAGAGGCCACATGACCAAAGATAACGGTTCCTCGCTGCAAGGCATTTAAAGCCAAAATCGCAAAGTCAAAACTCTGTCAAAACTTCTGCAATTAAGTTTGTAAAACTTCAAAAAATTGCCAGTTCATAATATGTATTCCATCATGTTACTTTTATATTTCGTGTTTTCTAAAATTGCATCCTCGAATGGTTTCTTAGATGTCGGAACAAACTTGTCCAGACTTTCTCCGCTGCGTCGCGCGTCTCTTACCTCGGTTTCTCCTGGGGTTGGCTTGCTTCCTTCGCTTGCCTCTGCTTTCCTCTGTCATCCTTGCTTCTCCTCTTGTGGCTCCTTCTCAAAAAGCGGTCCCGGTGCGACTGTGGCTGTGTCCTGAGTGCGCGTCAGAGAATGAATGGCGTGAACGCATCGCCCCTCGGTCACCGCGGGACACTCTTCTCAGTGTGTGATGGAGGTGCTGCTGCTGCTGCTGCTGCTGCTGCTGCTGGTGAGGAGCGGTGATGTCAGCGGAGGAGGCAGGACCCGGGTCACTCCTGCACCTTATCACACGGCCATGTAGTGCCCCGAGTCACACCTACAGAACAAAAGCGCGCGGCAAAACAGTTATTTATGACAAACGTGCCTCATGCCCTGCGCTCTCTCGTGTGAGGTGGTCACACTTTTGTATAACATTAGGGGCGCTGGACTGGACGACGAGAACACAAATACCAGCAAACTACGGGCTACACTGACAGCTGCATAAAAAAGTTCAGGTTTTATATGAAGGGAAATGATCGTGAATAGCCAATGAGGTGTGCGTAAAGTAGCACCCGGTGAGTCCTATAAGCACAGAGTAGAGAGGGCATTTTTATAAAAGCAACTACTTAAACACATGTCTTAAATAAACTAAAACAGACTTTTTAGCAATTTGCTCGTTTGCCTTACACATTAAGAACACACATTTTAGTAGTTTGCCCCGTACAAAGTGCTACCTTAATTTGTTAACACTATAGCTAGTCTGTAAACTTGGCACAAACTGGATTACTCTAACTCAAACTTACATTATTGATGGTTTCGTGAAGACAAGCCTCTTTTTAAGGTGAATAAAAACAAATATCTTAGCTAGGAACTTAGCAGCAGCTGCGTGCACACTTCTCTGGTACGCTATTGACTTAGGTGGCAAGTGTTTAAAAAAAATAAAAAAAAGGTGTGAATTGCCCAGTTAACAAGCCACATCTCCTCGAGAGCATTTCAGGTTAATGGCAACAGGTAGAGCCCCCCTCCCTCCCCCATGCCCGCCTGGCCTCCGTAGGTTTTATGGCCCATGTGTTATGCGCGTCCACCTGCCACCTCAGCCCCCCCGAGAGAGGAACCCGCCGCGCGCCCCATTCACCGCTGGATGGCTGTAGGAAGTGGTGCATTCACGGCCCCATTGTGTTGCAACCTGGACCGTAATCTGTTTTGCAACTGAAAAAAACATCCGAAATAAAACTCTAACACGGCGTTCAGGACCCCCACCTTGGCTTTTTCACCTCAAACCTAGAGTGATAATAAAAGCGAGCGGGAATGCATTTGCTCATGTGGAGTGGTCCACACAAGACTAGTGCACTACAGTGAAGGAGATTATTGAAGTGAATGAGAGATTACCTGACTGGAAACAGAATAAGAGCGCGAGTATTCAGTGAAACTTTCCACCTAAATCCGCGTGAACAAGACCAAAGCACAGATTAACCCCATAAGGATATTACAGAATGTGAAAGTAGCCATATGCCTCTGGGGCAAACTGCAGCTGAGCTTACACAACTGAGTCACCTGGGGCCATTAGCATTTTAGTGCACCTACTGTTCATTTTTACATTTACGTATTAAAACACCATTCATTTCTCACTTATTCCTAACTTCTAATTTGATCACAAAAAGTTAACCCGTTCTGCTGTAACTTGTTATGAGGTATAACTTTTGTGGGCATACAGTTGCTATGGAGTGTGACTGAAAATATAATTCAGATTATTCATGACTGAAATTGAAAAATGCATGTATACACGCTTTTGACTTTCATGGCAAGATCTATGATGCTACTACATTAGTGCTCCTGCAGCCTCCTCCTCTTGGTAAATTGTTGCCAAAATAGTACTACTACTATCTGCAATATTCACCCAAGGCAAAATCACAATAACCAAATTTTGTTGTTATTGCTTTTAAAATATGCTGGTGACGGTTCAAGGAGGGGATATGCTATAAACCAATGATATTTAATACAGATAGGGGCAACTAAAATGAATATTGTGAAAAGATTTCTGTTTGTTTGATGACTAAAAATGACCATATTCAACTTTTGTGAATTTAACCTTTAGATTTATCTTATAAAACATTCACAACGCACAGTAGCCAACAGTAGTTTACATGCTGATCCTCTAAATGTTCAGGCACAGTGTTCATCCTTTTCACTATAAAGGTAAAACATAATGTATTCTATTATTAAATTTACAAATATTTTTCTCATATTCAGTATGTATGTCTTTTTCCCTGCAAAAACATGTAGAATATAAACAAAAAAAAAGTATCTTATCACTAGATTCACTGTTAAGAGGAGCTGCCTCTAAATATATAAAGTTACCTATTACTAGTGCTCTAAAATCTGACTAGACTTTTGATGATGTCATAATTTCAGAGATTAACAGTTTTTGCAATAAATATCCAAACTCATGATCCACAAATGTTGAAACTTTTCATTAGATGTAATTGGTATTGCTTGGTATTAGCTCAACAAACTCCTTTTCAAGTCCTTTCAGCTGACAACAATCACATATTTGGTGTAGAATAGGCACTGCTTTCTGAAGTTATTGTGAATATTTCTTTTTGTTTATGCTGATAGAAAATACACTGATTAATGATAAACAAGGTGACCACATCTACAGTCTGAACAGTCTGACCTGTCCTCCAGCTCAATTATGAACTACACAATGTAATGGTAAGTAAGTGAATTCATGTCCCAAGAATACATATTCAGAAAACACATTTTGAGTAACTGTATTCTGGTATAGTTACTTTTTTATTTGTAAGTATTCAGAGTACAGTTACTTTTCTCAAATCTAAGGGATACATTGCAGTACTTGATCACACAATTTTGGGTTCAAACAGCACCATATTAATGACAAAAATACCAAAAAATCACTTTTGTGGTATGATGAAACTTGATGTAAAAGTATTTTAAGTACTTAAAATACAGTGCTCTGATTGGGCCATGTATCAGAATATGTAACAAAATACATGTTAATGCAGGTATTCAGTATTCTGTATCTAGATACATTTGCAAAATTTTCTTCCCATCACTGAAACTACAGGCCTTCGAAGTTGTGGTGTCACGTGAACACCTACTACTAACATATTCAGAGAAGCTGAAGGAACATTTAACCCTTTCCAAAGTATCTTCTTAAACAACACTTGTCAGTAGTTGTTCTGTTATATTAGCAAACTGTGAAAAACAACATAGTACTCCCCCTCGCTCCATCCGTATCATGGCAGTGACAGCCGGGGGTTTGTGCCTTTTAATAGATTGTGGAAGAGAAAGCATCCTGAGCTGAAGGTGGAGTGGTGGGGGTGGTGGGGGGGCTCGGTGGGGACAGAGGGGTCATCCCAGGCCTTTTGTCGTGAGCAGAGGAGAGCAGGGGAGGGGGCCGTAAACTCAGCTGCCGATGGAGGTCACCAAGGTGCAGAGGTGCAGCAGAGGTCCTGGGAGCTACGAGCGAAGCATTATACTCATTATACCTTCAATCACTGCAAATCAAATGTGCCCCTCTCTGCGTAAGGCTTTTGGCACTCATCAAAAGTGGTTTCTTAAATTACATGGACAACTGTGCGGAGAATTTTACTGCACCTGCTTAAATGAGTCTAATAAAAAGATAAAAGCATACATAAATTCGCACATGCATCTTTTTACCCTCTACAAATGTTTAATTTTAGGGGGGAGATAAAGAGTTTAAAAAATGCAGTGGCAACAGTATAACTTTTACTGTCTTGTTAAAGCAACTCCTTCCACAAATATAAGTCAAAAGGAGGAGCACTGAGGAAGCTGTCCCACTGGGGTTTTGTCCCTGTCTATGGTGTATGGGTTCAAAGCAGCTCGCATGGGGAGGAGAGCTCTTAAACGGCATATTAAGCAGGAGTTAATTATATGCCAACCTAAGTGACAAAGGGGAGAGAAAGGCTTTACTCTGAATGGCAGGACAAGAAAAGGGAAAAGTCATTATGCTGACCACTTGTTTGCATCTAAAAAAGTGACCGGTCTTATTTGGATATTTTCATTTGTGACGCTGGACTCGAAAGTGCAGATAGTGTTGTGTAGTGTGGTCTTTACACACACACTTTTATGACAATATAAACAGGATAAGGCATACAGATGTGGAAAGCGCTAACAAGCACATGTTTAAGATCAGATTTGGATGGCTTTGTAAGTAATAAAATAAGGAGAGGTGTAACTAAAGCATTACTAAAGTATTAAGTAACTAAAAATACATTTAACTCAAATTTGTTTTACCACCCTAAACAAGCCAAAAAACAAGTTTGAAGTATTAGTAGTAATCAGGGCATAGTCTGGAGAACTCCCCTCTATTGTACGTTTGTGGTTGTGAGATTAGTGTTGAATACTTGGCATGAAAGTCTGAAAAATAACTAGTACTTTAACTAGTAAATACAACGTTAAAGAGATACTCAATTCAAAATAACATAAATACAGAGTTATAAAAGTTCATAATTAAAAGATACGTAACACAAATAAAAATAAAGCTATTCATTTAGAACATTGCAGCTGTCACTTTTCCTTAAAAAACAAAACAAAAAAACACATATATACATAAATTGAAAAAATAAAGGAGGTATTTGTAAATTAATTCAGTTGTATTCTGGTATTAAGTAAAGCAACACTGTAGCTACAATAAAAAAAAATATATATATATGTGTATGTATATATATATATATATATATATATATATATATATATATATATATATATATATATATATATATATATATATATATATATATAGTGTGTGTGTGTGTGTGTGTGTGTGTATTTTGTAAATTATGGTATTTGGTAGTTTCTTTAAGTTCAACATTTATTATATAACATGGTTCAATACAAATATCTGCTCATTGTTGCAAATGATAAAAGATCAGGACCGTTGCCACATATGTTAACAATTTAAAACAAACTATTTTATCTTTTGAAGGGGAAAGCCCTCAAAATGTTGCAAATAACAACAAGCTGAAACTCATAACTACATCATAAATTATACATCCCTTTGTCTATTCTATACAGATGAGTTGCAGAAATGACATCATAAGACTTTCTTACTTCAGATCAAAGCAATAAGTGTTTTGTCATAGTTGTAAAAGTAGTGAAAAACATAATTTTAAGTATGTGTGATTCTTTGTTCAAACGCAGCATAGCACCACCACTGACCCTGCTGTGGAGCCAGTGCTATTGTTTGGAGTAGCAGCCTGTGGCCTCCGTCCGTCAGGAGAAAACTTCCCTTTTCTGCTCGGAGCGAATGAGTCAACCCCGACCGTGTGCCAGGCTGGAGCGGCCGCTGCGAGCCGACTGTGCCATGCCACAACACCACAACGCCAATATAGTCTGGGGCCCCCGGAGCCCAGAGCAGCCAGCACTGTAAAAAGTAATGACTTAACAGTTTTAAAAATACAACAAAAGCACAAGAAGGGCACATTATGAGCATGTTAAATTAGGCGGAATAAATGACAGGTAGCTTTTAGTGACCACACACCACTAGTTATTTTAACATGTGAATGGAGGAAGACATACTGGGCAATTTGGAGGGAGCTTGTTACAATTCAGGGCACTGTGGATGAATGAAATCATCAAACCCGGTGGCATCATCTTACCATTTTAAATATAATGCTAAAATAACATATAAACATTCTGTCAGTTTGTGATTACAGCAACATTGGGAAAGTTGGAATTGACAATAAAAACAGCTGGTTAGCATTTTGCAAATAAACTAAAGTAAATTGGAATCATGATGTTTGCAGAGCAGTGTCTTTGAAAGTCCTTACAATTTGAAGCAAACTGGACATCTTATTGTAATTTTGCACGTCAGTGTTGTTTATTCCAGCCTCTTATTCCTCCCATTCACAACCTTTTTGTATCAAATTGACAAAGTTCAACACGCTTGTTTTTTCATTTATTTACATATCTTTGCTTTTCAGAATTGGGGTTATGTGTCTGTGAAGCAAGAGATCAAGATGTATTGATAATGCAATTCTTTCCACAGTACTTCTGGCCTCAGGACAGACCACAGTCGCTGCAGAGGACTTGTCCAGAGCCTTAATGTCACCAAGCAAAACCACAGTCTATTTCAGTGCTCATTCAATTCACTGCACAAGTGACAGACATGGGTCATCCAAAACAAGCTTTCCTGATGAGAGTGTGGGGGAATAATTAATACTGCAAACAGGGTGAATGTGGTAACATATATTTTGGAAATATCTTTGCAGCGTCATGTTAATTAGCCTTTGTCATATGAGAAGTACAGGAATATAATTATGTTTTTCCATTTGTGAGCAGAAAAAAGACTGGCCCAGTTTGTCCGCAGGTTGCACTGCTCTCTATTGGAAGACCACTGTCATTGCATTAATAGTTACAAAAGACAATCCATAAAAAGATGTTAGTTTTGCATCCAAACGGAAAATGTTTATTCATAAACTGGTAAAATATAGGACATTTGTATAAAAATGTAGAAAATTTTACACAAAATATAACACTTTTCTAGTATAGTTAAGGCTATCATGATAGCTTTTTGTTACTATGGTGATATTCTTTTGCCAGCAAAAAGTCCGAATGGAGGATGACAGTTATAAAACACACACACAGAAGCAACATCCATAAAGTTCATTATTATAAAACATTTTATACAAAATCTCTTACATTCTAAACCTGCAATGTCAGTCAATGTTCAATGTCCTATTACGTTTTAGTGTTAAATTCCATCTGTGCATCGATTCATGTAAGGTGTCTTTGGTTGGCTCTACCAGTCCGAATAGAATAATACTATTAATAGAAAAATACTTTTGCAGCCCTCAAAATGACAACTGAAATACTGTCTTTACTTCTGTGGGATTAATCATAAGGCAGCAATAAAAGTACCTGGGAATCATAGTATTTCCTATATTTACCTCCGCCAAGGAGGTTATGTTTTTGCCGGCGTTTGTCTGTTTGTTTGTTTGTTGTTTGTCTGTTAGCAACATAACTCAAAAAGTTATGGACCGATTTTGATAAAATTTTCAGGATTTGTTGGAAATGTGAAAAGGAAGAACTGATTTCATTTTGGGGGTGATCCGGAAGAAATCCTGGATTCTGGATCACAAATTTTTGTTAACATTGTGGTAAATGGGGCCAAAAATTTTGTTTCTCAATATCTCGGTTAATTATTGACCAAACCCCATGAAATTTGACTCAGGGATGGACAATGGGATCCTCTTTCATATTCCAAAGGCTGATCCGGATCTGATCCAGAAGACTGATTTTATCGCAATTTATATAAAAAATGGGGGTAGTCCTTGGCGGAGGTCTGCGCTCTCTGAGTGCTTTTCTAGTTGACAAAGGATTAGTTGCCATACATGTTCTTTTTTTGGGGAAATTAAGGAAAAACGTTTGACAAGCTAATATAATGATAGCTTTCTATTGCAATTAGTCACTGCAGAAGGGTGTAAATGACAAAATATGGAGGAAAGGTCAGCAGCCACAGTTATAATTGTATGAATGTACTCTTTTGTATGTACCTTAGCTATTTAAATTTTGTATCAAAGAAAAAAAAAATATATATATAAATTCAAAGCTGCTCTAGAAAAGCTTACAGTAAAAATGGGAGTGCAATCGGTTTGTCTCAAGAAGGCAATTTGAACAAACATGTCGTCAGACCACAAAAGTCCTGAGTGTCTCTGTGTACAATATTCTAAGTAAATGTGCATACTGTGTAAATACTGATATACCTCTGGTGAAGACTAGCTGTGATAAGCAAAACGTGATTACAGAATATTATTTACTAGCACCGAAAAAAGCTTTCTTACTACAAGCATGGTTTAGCTCAGCTTTAAAACGCTCCATGGTGAAATCTTATAGAGATTATCTACTGCCCCAATGTCATGTACATTTATGACACACACAAATATGTTATAACAGATATAATGTATATAAAATCTATGTACAGGTCCTTCGTAGCTCCAAAGCCAAGTGTGGTGGGAATGCCTGTTAACAACAGTTTGATATGAGTCAGGCATGGGGCTCTGTGTCTTACATTAAGGCAAGTATAAGTACCAAAATTATCAAAACAGCAAGGCAATCTGGTCAGGCACCTTTGGTTTCTAATGGGATTATTAACACACCCCTGGTAACCAAAAACTGAGTACACGTGATTATTGCTGTACCATTACTGTGCAGAATCATTGGCTATTCAAAGTGTTGACCAAAAGATAATTAAATCAGCTGCAAAAAGACAACACTACATAGCATGTCCAGGCTGGTGGATATATATAAACAGTGTAACAGTCTTCAGGACATTGTGTTCAGGTATTTGTTTTCTCCAGCCAGTGAGGTGAGCATGGATGTCATGTCCCCCACTGCCATGTTGGACAGTCCTGTGCCTGCAGCAAGGCTCACAGAGGTCTGGGGGGTCGTAAGGCGGGATGAGGCCTGGGAGGAGGAGCCTAACTGTCCAGGGGCAGCGTTCCCCGAGGTGAATGAAGGAGAGTCTGTGTCATCAATGATGGAGGTGAAGTCTATTCGAGCGTTGTCCAAGTCCAGGTTCTCTAAGGTGTTGGACATGGGGCCAGATTCAGAAAAAGGAGCAAGTTGAGCATTTTGTGGGTCTATGTGTTTCTCCATGTCCATGCTAATCTGACCAGAGTAATACATGTTATTGTTTGTGGGGGAAAACATCTCATTTTGGGGGGCCTGAGGGTGCTGGACTGGAGGAAGCCGGACCCCTCGTCTTGGACTGGTGGTGGGGTGGACGGGGCTGAGGTGGGGTGGGCTGTTTAGATATGTCCCTCCCATTTGGGACAGGCTGTTTTGGCGGCTCAGAGGCTTCCTGCCAGGGGGAGGCCTAGGGACCATGTCCTGATTGTAGCAGGGAGCTTGGAGACCTGCCATCTGCTGGTCTTTAGGAGTCATTGCACCTCTGCTGTGGGCCGGAGGACTCAAGACCATGTTTTGGTTGGGGTAAGCAGGATAGGCCTGATTGGGGTAGAGATTCTGATTTTGGTGCTGTGGACTGTGCTGCATCATTTGTCCACTCATATCCATGTTGTCAGAGAGAGGAGGGGCTTTGATTGGCGCTTCATTCTGTTGTTCCCACATGAGCGCTTGCTGAGACTGTACATAGTTCCTCACCATCATCTCCTTCACCTGCATCATGGGCGTCTCTGACCTTTGCCCCTCAGAAAGTGCATTACCGGCACAACCCAGACTCATGCTGCCTCCACTAGGAAAGGAGCTTTGGTTTTGGAAATCACAGCCCATGTTGTTGGTGTTTCTCATCATGGCCTGTCCCGTGGGGTAGCTCTGGCCTGGCTGTAGATGCATGCGCTGCTGCTGTTGGAGCTTTGCACTCTGACAGGCGTCCCCGGTCCCCATCCCGGGGTGGAACTGCTCTGGTTTAATGGTTAGTTTGTGAGTGCCCTCTGCATTGTTGTACATTCCAGGCTGATTGTTGTTGTAGTGGGATTGAGACTGCATGTTAGGATCTGCATACGGCATGCCTCTCTGGTCCTGGCTCCAAGGTCCAGCAACTGTGTCACCTCCCTGGCCTAAAGCGGGATAATGAGGACCTGATGGGCTCAGCTGACAGTTGCTCATCCCGTACTCTGCCTGTTGGAGAAGGGTGTTGGATGAGACGTCTCCAGCCTGCTGGTAATGCCCCTGGTTATAACCCTGGTCAGTGCAGCCCAGAGGATCATGACCTGGTGACAGCTGGTTCGACACAGGACCCCCAAGGCCCTGCTGCGGGTATCCCATGTAATTCCTCTCAGGGCCCATGTGGTGCTCCATTCCCACAGACTCCATCATGACATTTTCGGTGATGCTGGGTGGGCGAGGAGAGTATATGTGTCTGCCCATGCTCGAGTCATTGCCACGGTGCTGGAGAGCGTTCCTCCGACTCATCAGGGACACATTAGTGAGGCTGTTGAAGCGCTTGGGCAGGGTCTGTGGGTCTGCTGCGGACCGCACCGGATCACTGGCCCTCCTGGCGTTGTTCCCTGGAGCCTGGTGAGGGTAGATGATGCCAGTACCATACTCTGTGTTAGCACTGTGCCTTCTTGGACCACCATGTTGAAGGAAAGCAGGCAAAGGCTGTCCCTGATAGTCACCTAGCATGCCCGCTCTTCTTGCTGGCGTCCCAGGCTGCTCCATATTGGGTAAAGGAGTGGGAGGAGGGCCACCTGTTGCCGCTGCGTATTTGGCTTTCAGGTTGTACTGCTGAGCTGGGGTGAAGTTGGCTAGTCCTGGTAATCCACCAGATGGACAAGTGGGGCCTCTTCGATTAATTTCAGGAGAAAGAGGGTCTCCTCCTGCGCTCTGCTCTGGGCCTGTGAGGTGTGCCGCACCACCTCCCATCTGAGACACCTCGCTGGATCGCCTGCTGGACAGATACGGGGACACCATGGAGGACCTGCGGCTCACGGTGTAGGCGGAGCTGAGGCTGCTGGTGCCGCTGCCTCTTCGGTCAGAAGAGCAGCCCATGGATGCACTGCCACCGTCATGACTAGAGAGCTCCATCACCCGCCGGTTTGAGAGGAGGGGAGAGGGGGCACACATCCCCATGTTCTCACCCGCACCTGTGGTAAATAAGGATAATGTTTACAATGTTACTTTCAAATATACCTGTAAATAATGAATGAAGTTACAGTGACATATTAATTGTTGAATATTCAAATTAACACAAAATCAAGAGTTATTGTTTGTCAGGGTCGCAAGATCTCGTGCCAGAGGATTGCGCAAGATAAATTGCTACAAGACTGTGCTCACAAATTATCTTCTGAGATGTTTTTCTGTGTTTACTTAAATTTGGAAAATTGCAAACTGAACCGCACAATTAATTTATTACAAGTTATGTCAAAATCTCGTCTTGCCCTTTCTTGTTTCTAATTCCATTCCTAGTGTACACATAAATTTACCAGGAATGGCTGGCAGCTTGTTGTTGTTGCAGCGTGAGGGAGGAGTTGGCCTTCGGATTTGTTTCAGTTTGTCAATCTTGAGGTTCTCCAGTCTCTTGAGAGCTTGTGCTGACATCCCCACACTTCCTGGTTCTCCTCCTGCTCCAGTTACTCCATCTTCCAGTGCTGTGAGGTCCTCCAGGCTACCTGCTGCGTTAAGGTTCATCTCTACCCCACTGTCATTGTTATTACCACTCCCTAGAGGAGACCGCTCGCTACTGCAGGAAGACTGACCTCCAGGACTTGGCTGGGATTTCTGAAAAAAGTGAAATGTTCAAAATGTTAGGTTTTGGGGGATTTAACAACAATATTTTGTGATGTTTAGATGAGGGTCTATATGTTTTCACATAACACGCTAAAACCTTTTTTTGTTTACTTACAAGAGCAGTGTCGGGAGCCAAAAGTTTACAATCGTCCCTGCGTGGTTCCTCTTTCTCTAGCAGCAGTTCTGTGTTCTGGCCACCAGGTGTCATGGCAGAGTTAGGGGGACGAGGACCAGTATCACCTCTGTGTTTCTTGGTGATGTGAGCCTCAGGACCATGCACTGTTTTCACATGTTTACGCAGTGAGCTAGGATCTGTGTAGCGTTTAGTGCAGCCAGGGATCTTGCACACATATGGTTTCTGTAAAAATACAAAATAATGTAATAGTATAACATCTGTTGACACGAACTGCATATAATGTATTGTTCTGATCTATACCTCATTGGAGTGGGTCCTATTTTGATGCTTGGCCCGGTCAGATGCATTGGAAAAGGCTTTATTGCATCCTTCATGTTCACACACATATGGTTTCTCCCCCGTGTGAGAGCGCAAGTGTGTCTTCAGGTTTTCCAAACGAGAGTACGCCTTGTTGCATCCCTCAAACTGCAAAAGAATATAATCATAATATATCATAAGAGTTATCAAAAATTAAATAAACATTCACAGTTTAAAGTGTATAGTTTAGGCATAGCTTGGCATGTTATCAAAAATGGTTTTATGCAATCTCGATGTGTGGTGCAACTTTTGTTTTGTTTGAAAAGTATCCTTGTAAATATCTTATCTTGCATTAAAAGGGACATTGTGTAACCTTTCTGGAGGAGGGTCAGATAAATGCATTCCTCCATGCAGATGTTATTGCTTTGTCTGGAATGTTTCACAGTATGGTATTAAATCTTTCTATCTTCATCAAGACCAAACCAGATCAATTTACAGGTCAAATCTGTGGCAGGCCCATTCATAGTCAGAATGCCTGTTTTTTTCTAGGTATTTCTGAGCCATAAAACCACCTCTAACTGAATAAATATAAGGTTGAGATATTTAATTTTTACTGTGGAACATTCCAGGCAGAGCAATGGCAAATCCATAGAAACGAGCAGGTGATGGACTTTCCACCAGAAAAGTTGCACAATGTAGTTTTAAACCTCATATGTTATTCTAGCAACCTGCACTTCACTATTGGGTACAGTAAGTATTTCAACAGCGAGATCCATCCATTCAGCCTTATCTTATAATGCAATCATAAGTGACATTTGATAGGACGGCATCCCTTCAGAACTTTGTATTTTTCCTGTAACTGGGCTGCAGTGCAAACAGACAGAGCTGAGACAGACAGTAAACACAGACTCACAGTGCACTTATGGGGCTTCTCTCCCGTGTGCCGGCGCATGTGAACCACCAACATGTACTTTTGAACGGCCTCTGCTCCCGGGAACACTCCTGCCAGTGACACACAAACTCCTTCTTCTCTCCGTGGATGTGCTCATTGTTGATATGCTGTAGTTCACATCATTACATTAGACTGGTATACTTTTTTGGTGCTTTTCAGATTCTAGATTGTGATCGGCAAGAGACCGTTTTCCCTACTGATAACATTGTACTTTCCTATGAAATATGTAAGATGTAAATTCATAAATGTTGAACCTGATCATTTCTATTAGTGACTAGACCCTAGAAGTCACGGTATTGCAATAAAAATCTGCATATTATCGGCCTACAGAATTTTGTAATGCCATCTGAAATCTTATACAAATAGTTAATATTTAAGAACATACATGGACAAGCTGGTCCTGGGTGTCAAACTCCTTGTTGCAACTTTCCCAGCGACAGTTAGTTTCATAGATTGCCTCAGGTTCAGGCTTCCCATCCTCTTTGTCCAAATCATCTCGACCATCCAGCAGACCAAGAAGAGGGTCCTGGAACATGGAAAAATACAAAGATTAATGTTATGAAATATTAGCATGGAAAATTTAAGAGACTTTAAATAATTTTTTTGAGATTTGCACTCAGCCTTCTAGACCGGAAATAATAAATTACAGTAGTTATGTACCTGAGTACCAGTGGAGGAGGGACTGGCCACATCTCCATCTGACCTCTCCTCCAAACTCTTCACATTGATGCCCTCCATCCCGCCTCCCAGGCCTGGCTCAGTCTTTAGCTGCAAAATGCAATCATTACAAATCAGCCTTTACAGACACACAGCCGATGCTCATCTTTGAGCTGTCATGAGCAGAAGTCTTACATGTGTGAGTGGTCTTACATGTCCGTGCTTGGGGGGAGCGTGCAGCCGGGGATTGTGGGGTGGTAAACGGGAAGCTTGACAGGGCCCTGGAGTGTGCCCACCCAAAGGAGTCAAACCACCTCCTCCGTACAGGGAGCTATGCTGACGAGACTGGCAGTTCATGTTGTTGTTGTAGTTGAGGGATGGACTGTGAGGAAGAACAATCAGAATCAAAGTAAATATTGACAGAATATGAGTGTCATTAAAATTTTATTAAAATAGGTATCTTTTAGTGAAGTAATAGATTTCTTTATATATACAATTATAGGTAAGGTAATAAAAAGAGATGAGGCACGATTAACATTTTATTGTGGGTACAGATCATTATTTAGGCTTTAAAATGTCTGATAAATTTATAATTACTTTTAGACGCAAACAAGATGACGTTTGAGTATGAGCTGATAAGGACACTACTGAATCTTGAACTTATAATTAATCATTGCTGATGAATAAAAATTTGCATCTAACATCCTTCAATAAAGTATTAAATGACATTGTTGTATCCTGATATAATGATATTGCCTTATTGCCTACCTCATGGCGCTCACAGAAAGATGGCCATAGGAACTGGATCCATTAGCGTTACAGCGTGAGTTGACGAAGGCCACCAGAGAGTTGGGTGAGGTTCGGATCACAGTCTGTAGATCTACACTGGCATCAGACAGAGGAGAGATGGACAGGGCTCTCTTCTTGCTCAGCTTCAACATAGAGCGAGGTGTGGAGTACCGTGACCCTAAACAAGATACAGAGAAGAAATGTGAACAAAAGCAACAGCAAATGTGTGTATTTTGGGAAGCAGAACTTAACCTACCATCTCCACCGTTAGGGTCAGAGCCAGGAGGGAGCTGACAGAAGTTGTGATGGGAGGACATCATGTTATTTTGGTTACAATAGGGGGTGCTATTGCCACCTGAAAGACAAAGCAGAGACAACACAGTTAGACAAAGTCACCATTCAGGTATGCTAGAGTGCAGGCCAATATAAGCAGTGAGAGAATGACTCACCCTCTGGTGGTGGCATCCCCCGGTGTCCCATCATATTATGAGGAGGTGGGGCTTGAGGGGGTCTCATGTATGGATCTATACAGTGACCAAATCCTTGTCCTGGTGCTGAGCCATGCGTCATACTGGGTGTCATGGGGTTGTACATAGTGCGACAGTCTTGGGGCAGGCCGTTCTGGGGTGGAGCACGCATCGGCGACACTTCAGAGTACTGATCCGGTGGGACTAGACTACAGAGGACCCAGTGGAAATGTAGAAATAAATATATGGTGCAAATAAAACATGTATTAAAAAAGCACATATAATTATACTAAAATATTCAGACCTCAAAATGTCATGCTAGTTGGGTTGTTTAACTATTTGAATGAAAACTGTGCTTAGAATTTGGAAAGACAAGTAACTCAGATTTACTTTATGTTGTTGTAATGCACACTTTTTGCCACTAGATGGTAAGAAAGTCTTATAATGATGGTCCCTAAGTGAGGTTTGGGATTTCCTCTTCAACCTACAGAGAAGTTTCACTGGACCTTTGCTGCCTAATTTGAACACATTTTCTGACAATCATGCTTGTCACTGGTTTGAGCAGTAGATTTGATATTCTTTTATGCAGCTCTTCCAAATAACACAAATGGGCACTAGCTCCTAAGTCTCCCTTTCACTTCTTTCCACCATTCAGCTCAACATGTATTCCACACAGGAGCTTAATCTGTCCTCCCTAATCCATGATTCCCCCTGAGCTGAGCTCCCTCCCTCTCACACTGTTCTCATTCATCCCTCCTGCCTGCCTCCTCTTCCTCCCTGCACTATCGGCCCATCCTGGTGGAAGCCGCGAGTGCGTCGGTGGTTGTGGGTAACCTGAGCACAGCGCGGGGCAGTCATGCAGAGCGCAGCGGGGCCTGGTCAGCCTGTAATTAGCAGCTGTCAGAGAGAGGCCGAGTCCACCCCACAACCTGGGTGGCAAAGGGGCGGACTGGGGGCGGGCGGGGGCGGAGCAAAGGGCAGAGCTATGTCCACAATACAACTAATACAACTGGAAAATGGGACATGGGTTTGGTCTTGGAGAGAGATGAACCAAAATGGCCTTTTAAAACTATTGAACTAAAGAAAGTATCATAGAACTACTTTTTTTTTTTTACAGAGGTTGCAAGCAGTAGTAACTTTTATCAGTGCGTAAATCAGGGCTTTCAACATGCACATATGGCCCCTAAGTACACAAAGTACACCTGTATAATAGATTTACTGAACAGATTTTGAGAACACTGTCAAGCTTTTTACCCTTCTGTAATGGATGGCCTTCATAAATCACTCATGAGACATTGAAATATATGCAGCGAGTTGCTAGAGCATGTGTTGAGTGACGTCCTACCCTCTGGTGGGCTGGTTGGCTGAGCTCTCGTACTGATACAGCCCCTGGTGTGGCTGCATGTCCACTGGCATCAGAACCCCGAGACTGGCACACCCCTCACAGTCACCCCAGACCTGAGGCACACAGAAAAGAAGAGGGACGCCGTTAGAGCAAAACCAAACAAACCCTGCCTTGCTGAACAAAAATGACCAAGAAGCAATGAGAAGGAATACGACAAAGAGACAAAAACAATTGTGGTCAGGCAAATTGGACAGTAATAACAGACCAACGCAAACCAAGCAAAGAAGTTCAAGGGTTGAACAAGCAATCTGAGAGGGGTTGGAGCCATTCTTAGCTGGAGAATGTATATTACTAATGCAGTGCTTATAGGAAAAAAATAACAGTGAATCCCACGCATCATAAAAGGCTCCATTAAAAGTAGGAGAGCAAAGATGAAAAGTTAAACAGTGTACAACAGGTGGCCTCAAGGTTAAAGGGCCCATATTACACATTATTTTCTGATCTAGCAGTGTGCAAAAATATTAAAATATCGACATATCATATAGTTTAATGTGACAGTATCGATATCGTGAGCTGCTGTATCAATATATCAACAAGAGTATTTTTTGGTATATTTTACTAAATTATGTTATTACAGTGCAACAGTTTTGTTGCTTATTGCTTGGAAACTTGTTTATGCAACACATTTGGCATTTTCACAGTTTTAATGAGTAAAATGGGAGTGTTTCATCTTCACTTTGCACAGGAAGTGGTTTAACAAAGACTTTTAGTATCACAGCTATGATTTAGCCATTATTTTTTATTGAAGTGTATAAAAATCTATTTGAAATATATCGTATCGAATTGAAAGTGCACTTTGTATCATTCTGCAACTTCTTAATGATTCCCAGCCCTAGTTATAATGTTGTTTCCTCATCACAAACATACCTGAAGTTGTGTTTTGTTTCATTCATACATGTTTAACAAGACACAAACCCTGCATATTTAGGCTGAGTTCTTCTCTCAAACTGAAAACACTGTGTTCCACCTTGTGATGTCATGTAGTAATACAGAAAGTACTCCAGTGTGTTTTTAAACTCCACAAACCTTCACTAGAATCATTTGGATTATTTCAACCCTGGAATTGCCAATCTCTACTGAACTAAAGGTAAAATAGCTGTTAACTTGACATGACATCACAAGGTGGAACAGAACATTTGGAGATGGAGACAGACTAATAATAAAGGATTACTCAAGCATGTGCGAATAAAAAAAAACAAAGCTCCAGGTATGTTTTTGATGAGGTACCAGTATTCTAACATGGCTTAAAGCTCACAAGAGGCAATTTTGCATATTATACGAACTTTAGCATACACTCGGGTTTGTGATTGTTATAGCGTACAATTGTTGCTGACAATGTGAGACAAAATGGTCAACTCAACTCTAAAGTTGAAATGACAGAGTAAAAGTCAAAGACAAGGTAACAGAGGCATCTTCTGTAAGGGCAGTCATATTAAGGGGGCTTTCTTTCAACACCGTGGCCTGTGTGTAGTAATTGGAGCAGAGACATTAGGAGTGCAAACACCTGCTCATTACGCCCAGCCACATCAGTCCAGCTGTTAGACTAAATGACTAAAAGACTAATGGTAACATAAAATGGTCTGAATTATACTATAACGATGATAATTGCATTATTTGTACTATTCTTGTGAAGTACATTCATTAAAATATATTGACAAATGTTACAGTGGCACACATTTTAACCAATATATACTGTAGTTTTTATTTACTATTTAAGAATCATTGGTATATTTCTACTAATATACTATACAACTTTTTTTGTTAATGTAGTTTAAATTCTAGACACCATCATTCATGAAACAGTTCTGTTTAGTTTATTTAGTTTTATTCAGACATTTTCCACAAAGACTAAAGTAATCCTAAAACAAAACCTGCCCCCATATTTGTGGCTAGAGGTCTGACCAGCCTAAGCTAGAGCGTATTCACGTTAAACCCCTATCTGTTTATCTGTACGCTACATTTGTCTCTCTAAGCTAAACTATTAACAATAAAAAATACTTCTTTTGACTTTTATAACCTTTCAGTTGTAATTTTGGAGCTGGGGATGAATAGTTGGCAGCCATTAACAAAAACACATTCTCAGATTTTTGCCTTTATAGAGACAGAACATAGTCTTATTGAGTGCTTTCATTCTATTCTAATACTCACAAGTCCATCAATAACACAATAACAGACAGGCACATGCACATTTATGGGACGGTTTAAAGTTGCTTTAAAGACTCTGCTACAGTCTCCACGCAGCCATATTTTTTCCAAGAAGTTTTTTTTTTCATAGTTTTTCTTTGTCCAGTTGACTTTATTAAACTTTGTTTTGGTTTTTTTTGCCATCTTGGACTTAAACTTTGACATTAAACATTACTTTATTGATCCATAAGAGAAATTATTTGGACAAAGTAGCTCACACATCACAATATAATATAATAATAAAGAGAAAAATCTAAATAAATAAGCTATAATTATTTATATATGTAAAATAAAATAGAGAAATACAGGAGTACAAATATATCTGAGCTATATAGAAGGAAATCTATAATAGCCGTCACAATTTGATCATGTTAAAATCCAGTCCCATAAGAAAGTCTTAAAGCTGGAGGGCTCAGTGTGCATGAGCGTGCATGAGCGTGCATGTGCAGTCTAACTCCCTCAGAGCTACTGTTCATGTGACAAATGTCTATCTCCAAACTGGGAGCTGGTGTGGAGCACATGAAAGCCCTGTGGTCTGCTAGAGCGGCTGCCATGACTGTTATGCAGTAGCACAAGTGTTAAAAGGGCAGTGGGGACCTATTTAAGCCCACAGACCACCACAAGGATTTGGTACGCAAAGTTAGCGAGTGGCTAAATGACAAGGGCGGTCCCAGGCTAATTGTACACACTCAGAGCTAGCTTTAGCCATGTGTGTATTAACCAGCCGGAAGTGCTAAACAGAGTCCACACCTCAGCTGCCCCAGGCTAATAAAGCCCAAAAAGGAGGGTCAGCTCTTTGCACATTTACAAAGATCTGGATGCACCTGTCAGTCTCGCCAGGGTAACACAACAGGGCAACGGCCACCTACTCTGCAACGCCCAGTGAGTAAGTGGAACTGTGATACACGGTGAATAAAAAGCAACTGGACTGTGTGCGTGTAAAGGAAAGTGTGTATATGAGGATGTTAAAAGCACCTAATATACTTGGTCTTAAAATGTCAGCTTCTGCAGGTCCAAGATTGGCTGAGTCTGTGTGAAGGTGTTACTAAGTATGTGTTAGCACTGGAAACAGTAGACAGTGAAATGCCACTCAGCTCATGTGCAACTGTCTCTATTAGCCACAGCTCAGAAATGTAGAAATGGTGACACAATTTCTTTAGAAGCCAACTTCTTTTGAACTTCTGAATAACTTCAACAAATGCTAACCCCTTCTTAGTGACACAACATTAAAGGTTGGCAGCTGTTTAATGTTTATGCCCATAAAGTGAGAGCCTGTAATTAAATATATTTCTACATTACAAAGTAAACAGTGGCAGAGTGGTTAGCAGCAAATGTATACTAAAACTGCTACTGTATACTAAACTTGAAATGAGTGTGTTGTGTCTTTTAACAATTTGTACTCCCTAAAGCCCCCTTTTGCAGTACACGTAACAAGTACATTTGTATGACCCCTAGTGTGTAGGGGGCTCAGCCCACTGACACAGGTGTAGGGACATAGTGCTATTTTAGGTCAGTATTTGGTGAGAAACTCCAAGGCTGGCAAGACTGCTCTCTGGTGTAATTTTGTGGTGCTGGCTTTGAGAGGACCAGTGTAACAGCAAATTAAAAACCCCAAGGTCATAAATCACACGGCTAACTAAACAAGCCTGCTTTGCCCCAGCGCGGACCTGGGCTGGGAGGGACCAGAGGCCAGAGATGTATATGGGACGGCTTAACACTACTTTTCTATGTTAAAAAGGCAAGATACAGTTTTGCAGTGAGATAAAATCAACAACAAAGTATGTTATTTCTTCAATTTTTCAGTATAAATACTTTTGTCTCATATTGATGTTGCAACATGCTCAAATTGAAGTAAAGGTTGTCAAGGATTAAAGCCAAAACTACTCAATGTGTATTGCAAATACTGTTATCAATAACTACAAGAACCTGACTTTGCTATAGTTTAATCAGTGTCATTTTACTTGCATTATGTTTTATATAGTCAGTTCACACACAACATATTCTAAGCAAGTGTTATCAAATCTATTAGATCATTATTTTTTGTAAGAAGGACCCATTTAAAGTGATGAATGCAACACGGAACAGTTCTAAGCAAGGCCCTGGAAAAATCTAGTGGAGTGGCCTGACTCTTAAACACGTCTGACTGTGGTCTAGCTCCATAAGTTTCCATTCAGGCTTAGCTTACTTAAAAAACCCAAATCTCAAACCACCAATAAATAAAATTACTTCCCTCAAGTATATTATACATGTGCTGTCAGACATTTTAACTTTTAACTAGTTTGAATAAAAAAAAAAAAAAATGAAATCACTGTTTATGATTTGACAGAGGGATAATGGTGAATCGAAGCCTGGCAGGATAACAAACTTTGAAGAGGGATACACAGTAGGTCCAAGTAATTAGTGGTGGAACGTAATGAAGTACAAGTAGCAAAGTACTGTATTTAAGCATACTTATCTGTACATAAATTTAGTACATTTTAAAGTGGATACTGAGGGGTTATTTTTTAACATTTTGTTTATAGTTGGAGCAAAAAATAAATTTACAAATAAAACTAGTTAGAAAAACAATCAATCAATCACTCAATCAATTCAGTTGTTTCTGTTAAACAAAATTCAGCACAACTCTATTATCAAAATCAACACATCTGAAGCGTTATAAGACCTCAAAATCAACATTTTAAACATATACTTTACTACTTTTATTCAAGTACTTTTTTTCAGGTGACACTTTTACTTATACTTCAATATTTTTTGGTCCAGTAGCTGTACATAACAAGTAACACAACTGTGTACTTCTTCCACCACTTCAAATAATTAATAACATGAACATTAGACAGAATCTAGTGCAGAAAAGTTTACAATCATGATG